ACCAGAATATTTTACATCTCTGTAGGAGAAAGAAGTATAATGATGTCTTAGGACCTCTCTCAAAAAAATGAAAAGTGGCAAATAGGCCTGCTTATTTGCTACATTTTTAAACCCTGAGTTACACTGTGATTGTGTCAGTACTCAGAAAAGGATCCTGTTCTATCTTGTATGCTAATCAAAATATTAATTCCTTTTTATGCCAATAGAATTTTAAGAGCTTGTTTTATAGTCAAGGAGGCATCAAAATAAAATACATATTTTTTAATAATTTTGCCTTTCCACTGAATAGGGTTACTATTATCATTTATAGGTAAAGATTGAATCTGCAAATCAAGGTCAAAACAAAATACAAACATAATAAATAACATTTGAAAGTTGAAGATAATATATTACAAAGAGATAAAATTATATATGATTAAAATGCAAGCTTAGTTCTTCTATACTTTGTGGTGGTGATTAAAGAGGTGAAGAGATAAGATATCCCTTTTCATTAAATCTCAATAATATAAAGATATAATCTATCTAGGACAGTGGTCGGCAAACTGCGGCTCGCGAGCCACATGCGGCTCTTTGGCCCCTTGAGTGTGGCTCTTCCACAAAATACCGACTTCTGAGCATGGGCCACGAAGTTTCAATTGCACTGTACATGCGCGCCCGCACGTGGTATTTTGTGGAAGAGCCACACTCAAGGGGCCACAGAGCCGCATGTGGCTCGCCAGCTGCAGTTTGCAGACCACTGGGTTAGGGGATTAAATATCCCAAATCCCCCCACCCCCCTGCAGATGCCACACCCATTCTACAGAGGCTGGAAGCCTGAATCTGACACCCTGGCTGTGGACTTCTGGCAAGTCACTACCCCCCTCGGAGCCTCTGTTTCCTCATCTGTAAAATGGGGATAAGGATGCCCTTCCCACTGGGCAGCTGTGAGGACCCAATGGGATTTGAAAAGCCTTTGTAAAAGGTACTATACTACAGCCAGCTGTTCTGATGGTTATGGTCTTGGGGTGGGGAGCTGGGACTCTAAGCTCCTCTGAAGTTTAGGGGACTCACAATCCCTTAATCTTTCCGGGGAACCACTGGTTCTAGTCTGTTTCCTAATACAAAGTTCCTTTCCAGACGCCCCTATCAGGCCGGAAAAACAGAAATTCTGGCTGGGGCTTAGTGTACATAGCAACTATCTGGCCCATCTCCTCTTCCCCCACCAGGAGCAGGCCTCTTCCTCAAGGCCAAATAAAGAGAGTGACTCATGTCAGACCAGACCCGGTGGCTACAGGCTACAACCTTTGTGAAGGTCCGGCCACACCCTGCTTTCATGACTCTGTTCGCCTTTTCCCCATTGGGGACCTACCCACTTGCAGGCCTGCTTCACTAGTTTAAACAGCCTGAGGCTGGTCTTCCTAGTGGCTAGGGCTGCTCCTGGGGGCAGGGGGTGGGGTGATAGGTGTGTGCGTGTGGGGTAACCTGTCCCTGTTCCTGGGTACTTTGGTGGACAGAAGACAGTTTATTGGGGACATGGTCTGAGTGGGGACAAGTCTTCATTTAGCCACAGGTGACCCAGATGATAATGTGCAGATCGGAGGGCTGATATTCCATGGGGGAAACTGGGGCGTAGCGATAGGGCGTGACTGGCCCAACTCCCTAACACTCTGTCAATAGGTCACAGGGCCTCTGTCCTGAGCCTGGGGGACTCCTCTGACCGAAGGACAGAAGGAACCCTGGGGACAGTTCTGTGGAGGGTGAGGCCCCTGGGGACAGTAAATGGCTGAGGTGCTGTCAGTGCCCGGCAGGGTCTGGCAGGGGGCCTGGCCCTCCATAGTGATGAGAAAGGTGATAGAACAGTTGGGCTGGATGTAGAGCTGGGTTAGGGCTGTGAGTGGAGAGGAGGGGCTCCTTCCTCTATTAGCAAAACCTCACTTTGTGGGCATCCTAGCAGGGCCCTCTCATCTACCCACCCACCCACCCACCCACTAGGATGAGATTGTGAGGTGCAAGGATTCAGCCTCTGACCCCGCCTGCAGATGCTCACACGGAGAGAAGATTCCATCCTATTTTTTTTTTCTGGGTGGCAGTTGCTAAAAGTCTCATGGGCAAGTTACTTGCCTCCCTGGGGCTCAGATTCCCATCATGGATCGTTCCTGGGGGTTGGAGGGTAGGAGGTTGTCCTGGTGGGGGGTGGGCTGGGGTGAGTCCCAGAGTGAGGGGCCAGCCCCAGGTGTGAAGGTGCCCTTCACGGGCCAGCTGCAGAGCTGCTCCCAGCAGCTGTTCCCAGGAGCCCATTGTCACTTCCTGGCTGGGTATGGACACAGCAGGGTGGGGCAGCTTTGTCTCAGGAGGCAGGCAGGCAAGCGTGCCCCTCCCAGCACTCTCATCTGGGGGCCTGCAAGGGGGAGTCAAGGTGTGGGTGGTCCCCAAGAGGTGGGCTCCCAGAGGCTGTCATTCCGAGCGGGTGCAGGAATGTGGAACATGTACTTTGGGGGTTAACTGTGATCACAAGGAAGGGGCTCAGTTCCGGATTCTTGAGGGGGGACTCTGAGTGATTCCTGGGGGAGGAAGGGAGCAGCATACACTCTCCCAGGGACCTAATTCCTGGGGTGATCTGATGAAGGGGGGTCAGAGTGTGCACTGGAAAGGGGTGTCTAAGCTAGTTGCGAGGGGGGTGCAGGTGGGAACAAGCGGGCGCCAGAGGGAGAGCCTGGTCTGGGGGCCCAGTGGGCTGGGCGGGGCGGCTCCCTCGGGGCTGGAGCCTCTGGCCCCTGGGAGGAGGGAGTGTTGGAGGCAGAGCCGCCAGGAGCTGGCCAATGGGGAGCGTGCCCGTGTGTGCACTCAGGAGCCAGCAAATTCCTCGGCCTCAGATATCCCGCCCGGCCCCCCCCCCCCCCTCCCCTGGAGCATAAAAAGCTCCAGGTGAGAGCCTGGTCACTCCTCCCTCGGACCTCAGCTCCTCCGACCAGAGTCGCTGCCAGTCCTCTCTCGCTATGACTTCCTACAGCTATCGCCAGTCCTCGGCCGCCTCGTCCTTCGGGGGCCAGGGCGGCGGCCTGATGCGCTTCGGGGTGGGGGGCGCCTACCGCGCGCCCAGCATCCACGGCGGCTCGGGCGGCCGCGGCGTGTCGGTGTCCTCCGCCCGCTTCGTGTCCGCGTCCTCCTCTGGGGGCTACGGCGGCGGCTACCGGGGCGCCGTGGCCAGCTCCGACGGGCTCCTGATGGGCAACGAGAAGGTGACCATGCAGAACCTCAACGACCGCCTGGCCTCCTACCTGGACAAGGTGCGCGCCCTGGAGGCGGCCAACGGCGACCTGGAGGTGAAGATCCGGGACTGGTACCTGAAGCAGGGCCCCGGGCCGGCGCGGGACTACAGCCAGCACTTCAAGGCCATCGAGGAGCTGCGGGACAAGGTGGGCGCGCCCGGGCGCCGGAGGTGCACCTGCCTGAGCGCCGCCAGCCCCGTGGGCCGGGCGGGGAGAGAGGCGGTGCCCGGGGCTGCGGGCACCCGGGCCACTTCTGGGCGGGGCGGGGCAGGAATGAGCCCGTTAGGACGTGGGAAGGCCGAAGGGTGGGCAGGAGAGAAGGGGGCAGGTGGGGGGGGGGCGCAAGACAATGGAGCAGGAAATGGAGGCCAGATAGAGGGACCAGGGTGTGGAACTG